CGGGTATATTGCAGGGGGCGCCGTTACGGATCATCTGACAACCGTGCCGCGAGATTGTTGCCGGCTGTGCACGCGGATGATGTGAGTCTGGTACGTCTTCGAAAAGCCCCCCCCCGCACACCTTCAAAGCGAGCATGCGCTACCGGACACGTTTCATCCTCGCGGCGTGACCATCTGCGGCTCGGCGTGCGCGCATACTCACGACCAGAGGGAGCTGCGGCCTTGCGTGATGACCCCCGTGAACTTGGTCAGCCTCCTGGCGTCCACCTCCAGCCACTGCAGCGGGTCGTCCCTGCCGGCGCACCAGGCCCCGTCGTAGAGGTCGTCCTCGTAGAGGCCGGCCTGCGGCGCGCACCGCGGCCCAGCTTTTTAGTCCAGATGGGTCGCCATTTCAACCCAAGCTAACGTGCTAACATCTCGAGTTTTACCCCTTCGTCTGAAAGGCCGTATCTCTCAAGTCTTTTCTTTTTCTTTCTGCCGTAAGCCTCACCTGAATGTTGAGACGACCTCTGTGCGCACCCAGGCCGTAGCGTTTGGTGGTGGAGGCGTGGAGCTGGAAGTCGTCGATCTTCAACGTCTCCAGTCCCATGGGAGGGCACTCTGGGTAAAGTAGCACGAGGAAGACGCGCACGCACGGACACTGTGTATCATTTTCACAAACGGGGCTGTTTGTTTGTTTGTTTGTTTGTATTGTTGTTTTCGCGAGTGCCCATTGAGTGGACGACATCAATAGTCAGACACGGCTGAGGCAGCGCGCTGGACGCACTTCGTTTGGAAAACTCCAGCCACAATAAAACACCAGAGGGGGAGGAAAAAATAAAAAAACCTGCACATCACGCAGGAATGTTTTCATTTTGCAGCTGGAAGTGGAGTTTGGAGCGGACGTCGGCCATTAAGTGCTTGCAGAGGCGACGAGAAACGCAAAAAGAATTGAAAGATCGGACGGGCTTTTAGGCACCAGAATGCCCAACGTTTTTTCCTCCCCCCCTCGGATCTCTCTGTGCTTTACCCGCTCAAGAGTGACGTAACATCTGAGAAGATGGTTTGTGCGTGCAGCCAAGCAAAGAAAAGACTGTTAGGTTTTTTTTTTTTTTCCTTCATGGAGTCGCCCATTTTGGGTTGAAGCAGCCATTTTAGTATCGAGGGATTTTCTCCTTTGTTCTCCGGATAATTGTTGGAAATGCGGATTGGCCTGAGTGATCTCTGGAATCATTTCTTACCGCCTTTAAATGGTGTCGGCTGTCCGCCCCCTTGCGAGCTTCCGTTTGGGCTTTTCGGGTTAGCCTTCTTGTTGTTCTCCGCTTTTTTGTTGGATGATTTGTCTAAGGGAAAAATGCAGATTGGCACGTGAGCGGATTTGCTTTGGCTTTTATCTTCGGTTGAATGTTTGAAGGACCGAATTCTGGCCGTGAGAAAGGAAATGCTTGCGATTGCCCGAAAGTGCTTGAGCCCGGGACTGACCAGAGCATTTTCCTCACAGTCTCAACCGAGGGTCTCGTCCCATCGCCCATCCATCAAACGAGAGGCACGACTGGGCCGGGGAGTCGCATTCCACTGAAGATGGAATGAGGGGAACATTTTTCTTTTCTTTTTCTTCCCCCCCCCCTTCTTTCATTCAGCCAAACGTCAAGAGCGCACTCATGTGATAGCAATCCGTCGCACATCTGAAAGTCTTTATCCTGCGGCTCACGCGCGGAGGAACGCATCAGGTCACCGGCGGCCGCCGCAAAAGCGCGTTCAGAAAGTTAAACTTGGCAGATTCCAGATGCATGGAGGCAATACGGTTCTTGGATTGACGTGTCCGAGGGGGGTGGGGGGGGGGACCATCCGGGGGGTAAGATCATTGGCAGGAAATGTTTGCATTCAAGTGTCGAAGCATCTGCAAATACGGACATTGACTGGGTTGGATGGAAGAAGCAGACGGGCGGGTGACGCGCCGGGTCAGGTCGCGCGCACAGCTGCTCTTCATTACCCGACGCCCGTCAGTGGACCCGCTGGAGCTCTTTGTGCTACCGTGTGTCGCGGCACGCCAGAAGAGAAGGTCTACAAAGCCTCCTCCTTGCATTCGGAGTCATTTCAACAGAAGCCCAAAGTCGACTTGGCCATGCGGTCGTTGCCTCTGTTTTGGCGGAGAAGCCGGAGCTTTGGCCGCTGCGTCGAAACCGCACGGCTCTGATGGACGCGTGCGCAGTGGAGTGCGGCGGCGGCCGCCGTCGCCGCCGACGTTTTCTCAGCTCATCTGTCTGACTTAATAGACGAGGACCTATGAGAGAACTTGTGCCAAAAGCCATTTGTCATCCCCCATTTTGTATTTGACGTCAACGGGTTCCAGTTCATGAGTCCCGCTGCTGTGGATATGAAATTGAATGGAACTGTTTGGGAACCCTCCTTCTGAAGCCCAAACGAAATGAGGCTCCTGTTCAATGTACAAGGCGAGAGACCGAGACGACTCCTTGAGACACCAGACAGAACCCTAAACTCGGCGGGAGACCTAAACAAGCGAATTACTTCTCCGACTCGGGCTCTTGACCTCTACGGATGCTTCTACTCAAACGGTCGTCCTCTTGGAAACCTGACCCGAACCGCGGACTCCTGAGGCGAACTCGAGTCCAAACTCTCCAACCCTGACCCGAGCTCGAACTATAACCATGACCTTGGGCCCACCATCACCCCTCGAGGTCGCCTCATTTTGATCCCTCCACCCGGAAGCCTCGTCCTTCTTCTCAAATGGCCACCCGCTTCGAAGCCGAAGCGCTTCAACGCCGCCGACGACTCGGCATCAAGAGCAACCGGAGGTTCAGTATTTTGCTCGAGAACACCTCAACGGAACCTCCGGGTTAGGAGACAAGCGCTCTCCCAACTGAGCCATGCCACAAGACTCAGCCTAAACTCGAAACCCCCCCGTCACACCACCTCCAACTCCAGCAAACGCACCGCACCCGAAACGTGACCGGCAGTCGACAAAGAAAGCTGGGCTGCGAAAAGGCAGCACGCCGAGCACGGGACGCGTTTTTTGCTTACCCGCCTGCCTGCCGGCGGCCTCTCCCTTGCCTTTGGCCGCTTTCTTGCCGTATTGTCCGGGCGCTTGGTCGGGCCCCTGCGGCATCTGGACCCGGGCGTACTGCTCCCTCGTCAGCAGCTCCTGCATGTAGTAGTCCTCGTCATCGCCGGCTGAAGCCGCGCTGAGGTCGGCCAGCCCTGCCAGGAGTCCCAGCAGAGCCACGGGGAAGAGGAGGCCGGGGCGCCGACCCCACATCACGCCACCCAGGAGGGGAGTGCGGGCGGGCGGGCGGGCGGGGTGGGAGGGTGAATCTCCACTGAAAGGTCCTGCTGGTGACTCCCGAGGAGCTTCCAGTCTCTGCTGCTGCTGCTGCTTGTTGTTGTTGTTGAGCAATCTCCAACTGGGCCTGATAGTTGCTTCCAAAGCCGCTGCGGCCCGGGTACCTGAAAACCCGGTTGGCGGGTGGCGATTGGGAACTGTTCGGAGACCGAAGGCACACCCAACACCGATTGGAGATCGCTGCTGCTGCTGCTGCTGCTGCCGCCGCTGTCCCATCCAATGCTTTCTCTTCAGCGCAGTTCACAAAGTTCTCCCGGCTTTCCGAGTCGCTGAGGAGAGCGGCGGAGCCAGAGGGTCCATGGATGCCTCAGCCTGTGAAAAAATGCAGAGAGGGAGGGAGCGGCGCAAAAAGGGAGAAGAAGCACGGAAAGAGCTTTGACTTTGGACGCTGGCAGGTGACTCCAAAAGAAGGCTTTTGTGTGTGCATGCGTGTGCGTTTCTCCCCAGGCGGGCTACACACACACACACACACACACACACACACACACACACACAGACGCACACACGCGAGTCTGGGAAGTGTTCAAGAGCCGCTTTTCCTCTCCCATCTCCTCCCACTCTGTCTGCACGAAGCCTGGGAATGTTTCCTCTCTCTCCTTTTGGGAAGTCAAGCACCTGATAAGCTGGGAAAAAAAAAAAAAAAAAGTTTTGCATCCCTCCAAATTGTTGTCTGTCGAGCATTTATCTGGATGTGGAGGGAACGTCCCTCCACGGGCGTAGAGGAGCTTGCGAGGAGCTGCGTGCAGTGTCGGCGGCCCTCATGGGTGTAGCTTTTGACACTTGATCAAGCTGAGACAAGACCAACTCGCCCGAGTCAAAGAGCTCGCAACTCACTTTCAATTAAATGCGCTGCCTAACTGGTGCGGAATGATTTGTAAAAGTAAGGGGGAAAAAAAACCCAATCCATCTGAAAGTCGAAGATGATCAAGCACCGGATTCGTCAGCGGGCGGACTGGCACACTCGTTGGCTCACTGAAGTCTCAATCGGGCCACGCTGATCCACATCGCAGACGTCAGGCGAAAAAGAAACCAAAAAGAATGGGAAGGCCATCAAGTGGATCGTCTTGATTTCTGTGGCCGATTTCCGGTCTTTTTCATCAAGGTGCAAGTACAAGCGAAGAATTGTGCGCACACGAAGCCATCGCTTCCCCGACGATGCGATCCTCTGCCTCCTTCAAGGTTTGGCTGAAGCGAGGTCAACATTCCGAGGAGTCCCTTTCATCGGGGATGAGCGTGCATCATGTTTCCAATTTATTTCCAATATGAAGCTTCAAGTGGGAGACAGGTGGCCTCCTGCTGTTATTTGTTTCAACAATGCAGAGAAACAACACCCCCACCCCCCCCCCTCAATGAGACTTTCATGTCTTATTTCTTTCTTCTCTGGCAAACTCCCAAAGTGCATGCTTGTTCTCACAAATATATGTGCAATGACTCCCGATTTCTTTTCCATGATTGTTCTGTTTTGGGCAGCGCTTTGGTTTTCATGTTGGTTACACCACTCGTATAAATTCTGGTACTTTTGCTCACGTGTGTGTAGAAGATATAAAACCGTGTGAAACTTTTTTTTTTTAGGATGCCCCCATTGAGAAGTCCACCCCCCCTTCCAACACCTGCTTTTCTAATCGCGTGTCCACATCGGCGCCGTGCGCTTGGACTGCAGTTCAAAAAGAAAGAAGGGAAACAGATGTCGGATCCGAAAGATGCGCGTAAATGCAGTGACAGTGGAATGCATCGTGTTCCACCGCTATATCGTGGATTGTTGTACTACTTACAAACGGTCGGACGTCCAGATTTGCATCATGGATGCAAAGATGAGGCAGTCAAGGCCCCCGACTAATACTGCAGTTGCGAACATAAAGAGTCATTCTTCCCACAGAACGGAGAAATTTGTTTTACTGTGAGCATTGTGGAATGCTCTGCTACGACAGATGTGCGTTGCGCCACGAACAGATGTTTGAAGGCTTAAAATTCTCATCGCATCGACACTCGATTTTGGTGATCCTGTCTATTCTGGTGCTTTTGCTCACGTGTGTGTAGAAGATATAAAACCGTGTGAAACTTTTTCTTTTTTTTTTTTTTGGATGCCCCCACCGAGAAGTCCAAAACTATCCGTTGACTCCTTCATCACACGTATGGACTTGATTCATTTGGACACCGTGGCTGAGATGCGCGTAAATGCAGTGACAGTGGAATGCATCGTGTTCCACCGCTATATCGTGGATTGTTGTACTACTTACAAACGGTCGGACGTCCAGATTTGCATCATGGATGCAAAGATGAGGCAGTCAAGGCCCCCGACTAATACTGCAGTTGCGAACATAAAGAGTCATTCTTCCCACAGAACGGAGAAATTTGTTTTACTGTGAGCATTGTGGAATGCTCTGCTACGACAGATGTGCGTTGCGCCACGAACAGATGTTTGAAGGCTTAAAATTCTCATCGCATCGACACTCGATTTTGGTGATCCTGTCTGATTTGTCACACTCTTCGTTCGCATGAGCGGAATTGGATGAGAAGCAACGATATGAATCGGTGAACTCATTGAGCGTGAATGTTTGTATTCGTTGAATGGATTCCAACCGTTTACGGCCACTGACACGCACACACCGACTGGCCTTTCAGTACTGTACGGATCCAAGATGCATAAAAACGACATCACATGTTTGGCACTGACTGCTTTTAATACAACGCACGTGTGTCAAAACCGAGACAGACACGCCGCTTATTAAAAACCGAGTTTGCATAAAACATGCAATGAATAAAGGCTGAATGAGGCCTTATGCAAGTGTTATCCAATTCTCGTTTACTTTTCATGAGTTGCCAGCATTCCTCACTTGCTTTGTCATCGCAAAAGCAACCTCGTGTCTGGGACTTTGCGTATTGTCCTTTTTTTTTCCGCCTGTATATTACAATCGTGTGTGTGTGTGAAAGCAGTGTCAGGAAAAGCCTACTAGAACAGCTGAGTTTGATTTGGGGTTGACTCGAGGCACTCTTAAGCGGTGGCCGTTTTGTGCTGACTCCCATTGAACGTGAATTGGAATGTGATCGGTTGATTCTGAATCCGCAATTGGAAGAGGGTGTGCGCACATGTGCGACCGCAAGATCTCGGTTGTTTATTTTTACTTCTGCTCTCAAAAAGATGGAAAGCAACATTTTAATCGAGTTGCATAAGAGGAGGTTTTGAAATGAGTTCATTTGGTCCCCTCTTTCGGGAAGATGACAGAAAATCTGGCATTTGAACGGGGGTGTGCAGACATTTGTTTTTTTCAAACCAGCAGTGTAATTCTGCCTCACAGCAAACCGCAACCACAACAATGCGCCCAGCATCCATGTTTCCACGATGAAGAAAAGGACCGCTGCGAGGTTGTCATGCAAACGGAGGCCCGCTGAGTGATATTCACGTCAGGATCCAGCGTGATCTTTGCTCTGGTGTTCCGTCACCCTCCCACTTGTGCCTCCGTGGCATTTCAGAAGCTCGGCCTCCGCATGCATCCGGCCCGGTGGCTCTAAAATCAAAGTCCTCCCCTCCACCCCCATTTTTCCACCTTCACTTTGCCACCCCCCCCCCCCCCCCCCCGTACAAAGTCTCTGCTGGTCTGATGGCTAGGATGAGGTTAAAGCCCAGCGGCGTCGAATTCGATTGTCGTTTTAACAACCGACATTTGACACCAGCCACACAAATAGTATTGGTCCAGATTCATGTCCATCGCTGCATGGTGAGAAAAGATATAGTCAGAACGTTCATGAGTTCCAAGCCATAAAAGTCGTCCACGTCGCAAAATATGCATACAATTTGGATTTAAGATGTGGATGTTTTTCCCAGGCCTCCTGACCCAGAAATCTCTCGTAGGCACTTTGAGGCCAGGGGGAGACTTTGTGACAGATGTAGACCAGACAAAATGACTTTTTTTTGGGGGGGGGTTCCAGGCCGAAAAAGTGGCCGCATCTCTTCTTGTAGTAATTCGACACAAACCTGTTCCGAATGAAATGAAACAAGTATTAGTTTTAAACACACTGTTGCTACTCTAGTATTTGCTTCTTATGTCCACGCTACAAAGTACAGTACTCTGCAGTAACTGGATTGGAATGTTCTCTTGCCATGTATTGCCACCTGGTGGCAAAAAAATAAAAAAATAAAAATAGGAGGCTCACAGATAAGTAGCTAGTTTTTGCACAAACCGAACTAATAGAAATAATGATAATGATGATGGCCTTATACTATATGCATTTTTGCTTTACCCAGCATAAATATACTGTTGGATTGGAACGTTTTCCATTTTCTATTCATGTACTGCTACCCAGTGGTGGAAAAAAAAGGGTGGGGCTGAAGCTAAAGGTCTTTGTTTTAAGGCTGTTGAACCTGTTATGGTAGTACATAAGACAAAGGTGTTTAGTTCTCTGGCAATGGAGTTCGCCCGTTGTAGTAAAGAGATGAACTTTCAACTTTTCTGTACAATGCGATTGTTTGATGGGCAGGGGTTGAGGGTGGAATTGAGATGATTTGTAATTAAATTCTAATGAACTGCTTTAATTTGGATGCTACTATTTGCATTGATTGATATGACTTTTAAGTTACAGTGTGCGATGCCCAGATTTACCAGTTGGAGGCAGTAGCGTACAGTGGGCGCACAATGCGGGTAAATAGAGTTGACGCAAAGGAAGAAATGACACAAGGCGGAAGTGCAGCGTTATTGTTGTGGCTGTCAACACTTGGCTGACTACAAGAGACGGATAAAACGAGAAAAACTGTTGCCACCGATGACTGACATGGCCGTTGTTGAATTTTGACCGAGCTTCCTTTACTGGTAAGACCTTTGGCATCTTGGTAGTTTGATGTCGGGTGAACTTTTCGTGTCAGACGACAGGTAGTAGGGCTGCTAACAGGATTTAGCCTCGCGGCTATTTGACGCCGTTGTTTAGACACGACCTGGACTGAACACAGGGTAAATACCAGACAGGTTCACTATGTAAATGCCTTTATTTGGTCACGTTTGTGTTTTTTATATGACCGGAATGCTATTTTTACGCAGCAGTAGTCGAAGCGTCCTTTCCAAAAAGATTGAGGAAATAAATTGCTTACACTATGGCGGAAGAACAACACTTTGGGGAAACCTGGGCCTTCGTTAATGCGCTCGGGTTATCTGTGCAGTGTAAATTACTAGTACATTTTTTGCGACAAACTTTTAACGTTGAAGAAAATGATCATGTCAGACATTCTGTGAAAAACAATAACCCCTCGCCCCCTCCAAATCAGTGTTAAACAATTCAAAATAGTCAATTTGTTTAAAAACGACTTTACATTTCAAATAATGTAGTGCACAGCAATTCGACATCTTACATGGATTTTTACCCCCCACCCCCAACTGTTCAATGCAATGTTTTGTACGCATTTTATTTTTGAAGAAAGGAGTGTTTTTGTTGTCAGGATTGGTAGAAATCCAAACTCAGATGACACGGATATAGTTTAGTTGGCCCTCAATGTATGAGTTTTTCAAACTATGAGCTGTAAATCTAAGTATAAATCTTTGTATCTTCATTTATTTCTGTTCTTTTTCCTCCTGCGTGTTAAAGGTGCTGCGACTTCTGGTGTCTGATCGACGACCTTTGCTCACCACCGGTGCCTGAGTGGCCAGTCTGGTTTCATCGAAGCCCGGGGCCACCCCATCCGTAAACAGCCTCATCCATCGTGTCAATGGCTGGACGCGGCGGTGGCGGCGCGAGCAGGCCCAACGGGGCGGCGGCCGCGGCCAATAAAAACTTCCAGTTCAAGCTGGTGCTGCTGGGCGAGTCGGCGGTGGGCAAGTCCAGCCTGGTGCTGCGCTTTGTCAAAGGCCAGTTCCACGAATTCCAGGAGAGCACCATCGGAGGTAAGATCCCAAGTCCAGATCAGGGTCATAGTCATTTGGGATTTTACATTTTAGGGAATTCAGTTTTTGGTTTGAATGTAGTTCATTTTCATTTGTTTTTAGAGTGACTTTGCTAGTTTTTAGTCTTTTTGTTCACAAAACAATCAATTGTTAAAATAATCAATTAATTTGATCATCGATTTAGGTTAATCATCTGTGTTCGGGCTAACGCTACATTAGAGATCAACCAATTTCCTATGATGGCCAGAAGTTTTTTGCATAGATCTGACATGAAATAGGATTTGATGTTGTTCACACGGTGACGTGTGTACTTTGTTCTCCTAGCGGCCTTCCTGACTCAGACGGTCAGCCTGGACGACGTCACGGTCAAGTTTGAGATCTGGGACACGGCTGGCCAGGAGCGCTACCACAGCCTGGCACCCATGTACTACCGAGGCGCTCAGGCCGCCATCGTGGTCTACGATATCACCAACACCGTGAGTCGCACTTGCCGCGTTGTTTCAGTTCAGGTGTTGTTGTTTTGTTTTTGTTTTGTTTTTTTATTAGGTTGATGACTCACAGAATTTTACTCTGCCAAATATCGTAATCGGCCCCAGGAAATCAATTTCGGTTTCCTCAGGACACGTTTGTGCGCGCAAAAAACTGGGTGAAGGAGTTGCAAAGACAAGCCAACCCCAACATTGTGATCGCTCTGGCCGGCAACAAGGCGGACATTGCAGACAAGAGAGCGGTAGAGCATCAGGTATGAGGAGGGAGGGGCCGTACATCCAAGCATCTGCCGCTTTCGCCTTCCCTTCAGTTGACACGACAACGTTTTGTCTTCAGGAGGCACAAGAATACGCTGATGAAAACGGGCTCCTCTTCATGGAAACATCAGCCAAGACCGCTCTCAATGTCAACGATATTTTTATGGCTATTGGTAAGCGTTTTATTTCTGTCATGGGTGGGGGGGGCTTGAATCTTTGCTTGCAGCGGGGCATCGAAACTAAAGTTTGCAAATAAGATGACGGCAAAGGACGAAAAGCAGAGGATCAGAAAGCATCGACACCGAGCCGGTAACAAGGAGGCAATCATGAATCCATGTTACATCATCAACTCGTGTTGAATTATTCTTCCACTGCGCTCCTTTTTGCTGTGACTGCTGCTTCAGAGGAATTCATTCATATTTTTACTTCCGCAACCAAACGTGCAAGTTGGCGAATGGCGAGTGTTGCGCCGTTATTTCTGTTGGCAAACCGCTATTTTCGATGCTTTTTTTGTCAACGGCATCTCCTTTTATCTGCTCAGCCAACAAGCTACCAAAGAACGATCCCCAGGCAGGCGGCGGCCAAGCGGGCCGGACCGGCGCCGGAGTGAATCTGCACGACACGGCCTCTCAGAGCCGCAGCGGCCGGTGCTGTAGCGGCGCCGGCGGTGGCGGCGGCAACTAGAGCCTGGGTGAGGACAACACTTCAGAAAAGTAACACTGGAGGACAGGCAGAGCCCCTCCCCCTCTACTCTTTCCCCTCCTCCTTCTCCTCTGCTCTAAAACTGAAATTTGAGATGAGATCTGGATCCTTTTTTTTTTTTTTTTTTCCTTAAAGACAAGAATCACAAGCTAAGTGGGCTGATCACTTCTGACTGGTCTCCTTCTTCCATCTATCTACCTCCCTCTTCATCTTCATCACTTCCTGTTTCAAAACTGTCTTCAATGATTTTTTTATTTTATTATTTTTTTGGGGGTGGATAGCTATTTTGTGTGTATATGTATGTTTATGTGTATATAAAAACACAGTATATCTATATTTATATACACACATGAATACTCTATATATGATATCATGTATACATATCGTGTGTCCTAGCTTCCATTGCCTTCCCTCTTCAGCAATCACCAGAAAAATAGACATTTTGTTTCCACGGAGAGTTAGTCTCATGAAGGTTGACGGCATCGTCATTGATTTGAGGATGGTGGAAATAAGGCGTGCACATGAAATATAATAAAGCTCATGCAAGATCATTTATTTGGGGTTGTTCTTTTTCTCCTGCTATGTCAGCAGTGGGTATAAAAAGTCAACACACTCCTGTTCAAATGCTCCGATTTTGTGACGTGGGAAAAATAGGACCAAGATAAATCATTTTAATACCGTTTCCACCGATATTGTGGCCCGTAACCTGTGCAACTCAATTGTGCGCCACACTCATTTGCTAATTTGTAATTCCCCTTTTGAAAAGAAGTCTTTTTGGAATGACTCTTGAACCACTTGAATCCATCGTTGACCACTAGGGGGCGCCATCTCATTGCAATCCGCGCGGTTTTGTAGCACTCGTCGAATAAATTGTGAGTAAAATGTAAGATCCTGCGCGTTCCATTAGATAATGAAAAATACATTTGTTTCAGGGAAACCGCGTATGGAATAAATCCAAGCAGCTTTATTTTTATTTAAATTATTGAAGACGATGTATCTTGTCAATGTTGATTTTTATTGCCACGGAATGTCAAATTCATGCTGATCACAGCAATATGCTGTGATTGAAATGTTATTTTTATTTTTTTATTTCTCTTGCATTTTGAATTACACATAATCCAACCATTTTTTTGTGATGTGCGTTTATTGAAACTCAGCGTTATAGTTTATGACAATTTTGAATGATTGTAAAAAAAAACATTTTTTATCTTAGAATTGCATAATTTAAATACCTTCAAAATGCAGTGGCAAGTTGCTGTCCCAATCCTGATTCTGTTGACCAGTTTCATAAAAAGCTTGGAAATGCTTCACATGTCCATCGTATGACACATCCATCACCCAAAATCAAGTCGCGTCTCCATGGAAATGGGAATGCGAATGCCCCCCCCCCCACCCCCTCCCTCCTCCGCTGGACTGCAGTGGTTGTGATGATGCATCCTCATCATCACCCGCCTCCAAGATATTGCGGCCTCGCTGCCAAAGAGCAGGCGGGCCGCCCTGTTGACAGTA